AAATAAGTGATAAAAAGACAAAAGGTAGTGAGGAATTTTTTGCTAAAATCAAAGAGCAACTCACTGCACAAGTTATACAAGTGCAATATTTAACTGACACAGTGGTGGAAATAGTGATTAAAGCACCACTTGCTGCGAAAAATTTTCAACCTGGACAATTTTTTAGACTACAGAATTTTGAAACTAGCAGTAAAAGAAATAATAATACACAACTTGCTATGGAAGGCATAGCTGTCACTGGTACTGAAGTAGATAAAGAAAAAGGTATAATTTCTACTATTGTTCTTGAAACAGGAGGTTCTACTAATTTGTGTAAATTATTAAAAGAAGGTGAATTAATAATTCTTATGGGTCCGACGGGCAGTCCAACTGAGATTTAACGTCAGTCAACATATTTGCATACTGTTCAGCCTCTGATTTAAGGCCAAAAGCTGAATGAGTCGTTACTAAATAGTTAAGAGATTGAGATAAATAACTAGAATTTTTATCATTTATCACGTTCTGAAAACGCTTTATTGCTGCCAGATATTCACCACGTCTAAAATAGAATTTTCCTATGGCATACTCTTTTTCTGTTATATGTTTTGTAACTAGTTTTATTTTTTCTTTTACATCACCTACATATTCACTTTGTGGAAAGAGATTAGTATATTCTACAGCTAGTTCCAGAGTTTTATGAGCAGTTTGCTGGCCAAGCTGTACCTTATCAATTTGCATATAGTAGGATAATATTCTCAAGTAATATGTATACGATAGGTCAGCACTGTTGGGATAAATATATATATATTCATCCATACTGTTTGCAGCACTACTATAATCACCCATGTTATAGCTAGATATGCCAGATAGCAATTTCGCTTGCATTGCCCAATAAGATAGGGGATATAAGTCTTCAATCTTGTGCAGAACTTTAATAGCTTGTTTATATTTTTCTTTATTAAAAAGCTTAACTGCTTCTTCGTACAGTTCAGTCTCGCTTTTTTGAATAAGATTTGCGTGTAACTGTATGGACAGAAAAACCAATAAGATAAAACATATAATTCTATGCATAGACTGTGTAAGATAAGATAAAATAAAGTATAGACTTAAATATTATCTAAACAAATAAATTTTTATCACGCACTTTACTGCAGTCAGTGTCATCCATTTTACTCATAGGTTTAAGTGTAGTAATGCTGCCAAATACCAGTGCAGATGCAAAAGCTATGCCAATTATAGATAGTGTAGGCAGTGTAGTAAAATATGTAAGCATTGATGCAGTAATAATGGCAGCAGCAGAAGCTACAAGTATTACTATTTTATATGTTCCTTTAGCTTCATTGGTTTCATTAGGTTGTGATGGCAATGTTATTTTTGGCACTTTTCTCAAAGGCATCCAAGAATGCTTTCTCGGTTCACTATGGGTAACATTTGAAGCTGTAGATTGCTCATCAGGAGGATTTTCCTCTAAGGTACTTTTTGGGAGTGGGATCTCTACAAATGATTTGTGTGAATCATCAAAATTTCTATTATAACTAGTTGTAGGTTGCTCATCAAAAGGGTCTTCATCTTCACTCGTAGTAATAGCATCGCTAGTTTCTAGAGAGGTATTTGCGAATAATTCATACTCACCATCATAATCCTGATCAATATAATCCTGAATAATTTCTGCTTTTTCCTCCTCATTTGTAATAGTTTCTTCATTGTTATCTTTATCTTCGATCTCAAGTAGTGCTCCTTTTGTCATTATAAAGGTTGCTAATGTAGAATGATTCTTTGTTAAAGCATAAAACAAAGGAGTTCTTCCGTCTTTATCTAATGCATTAATATTTGCTCCATGCTGCAGAAGTGTCTCTACTATTGAATCACAATTATTCTCAGCGGCGTGATGCAAAGCAGTTTTTCCTTTTTTGTCTTTTACATCAACCTGTAGTTTTTTTTGTAAAAGTGTATCTACTATGAATTTATCATTATTTTTAGCAGCATAGTGCAGAACATTCATACCTTCATTATCTTGTATATCGAGGTTTTCACCTGTTATGCTTAAGATTGCTTTTGCTACTTCAGTAAGGTTTGATTTTACAGCTAAAATCAAAGGTGAAGTGTTATAGTTATACTTCTTATTCTTCTTATTCTTATGTATTACTTCCAATAAAGTATTGTTTTCAAGTCTAATATTATATTCTATTAACTTTTCTCTTCTTGTTTCGTCTATCTTACCGCGTTTATTTTTTAATAGTTTACCATTTATTTCTTTTAATTCTCCTGTCAGATTAGAAATATATTTTTTATCAAAAATCAGAACTTTAAGTTTTTTTATAATTCCTCCTTTTTTTTCTGCTGTCTCAT